TTTTTTTTTTTCTTGTCATATGCATTTCGGGGGAAGATACGTTGCAGTGTAAATAAGGAAATGAAAGTACTTTATCATACAAAGCTTTAGTGAGGATTTGCAACTGGCGCGTGTCTCCATTTACTTGTGAACTTTGGTACTGAAGACGTAAGTTGGTAAAAAGAGAACTTCACTGGTGTATGCTTCAGAAAACACTGTAGAGATGCATCTAAATTTCTAGAGCAGGTTAAAAGAACAAGGATTGAAAGTATTTTTTCTTGTAGAAGTTTTGACAACAAAGTATTTTAATTCTAACATGTTTAACCACATCCTTTCCTGTTACTGCTCTGCTGCATACTGTTTCTGACTTTGCATCATCTCTGTATTTGCTTTTAAGAACTCGAAATGCATCTGATAGCAAACCAAGACTCTCCATGTTAACTATGGAGACAATCTTAAAAAATACTCAATTATGGCAGTGCACTCTCTTTTCATTGAACTATTTGAAATTTCACTGGTGATTACTTGAACTTAACATTAAGTGCTTTAAATGCATTTTTTTTTCTTTTTTAAAAAAAAAGTCACAGAAAGCGTAGGTGGGGGAAGCACAAGTATAGTGAAGTCAGAAACTGCCCCATTATAAGTAATCAGATGGGGCTTTTTTCTTTTTTGGGCAGCTTTGGCAGTGCTTCTGATGGTGTCTTAAAAAAAAAAAGTCACAGAAAGCGTAGGTGGGGGAAGCACAAGTATAGTGAAGTCAGAAACTGCCCCATTATAAGTAATCAGATGGGGCTTTTTTCTTTTTTGGGCAGCTTTGGCAGTGCTTCTGATGGTGTCTTAGGAGCTTGAAACTGTTAAAGATCATAGTTGTATTTCTGTATTCCAAGTCAGCAGGGTGCTTGGGAGAGGTGCTGTCTAGAACCTTCAGTTTTCCTGAGTCAACCTTTAGAACTTGCAGTGCAATTACTGTGTGCATGTAAATCGGGAAAGCCTCTCAAAGGGTATTTCTGCCCAACAAAACTTTCCAGAAAGAAAAACAAATGTTTTAAAAATACGTGCTCATCAGATCAAGTCCTTAAAGCTAGCTTTCAATGCTTGTCTTAAGATTTTTTCCTCTTGAAGTCTTATTAATGAAGGCTTTTGGCAACTCTATAGAATTTGATGTGCCACACTGCAGGAAAGGAGATGGCTGAAAGCTGCACATGTGCATGCACTCACACAGGCAGTGAGTAGGGGTAACAGAGTAAAGTAGTTGGATCCCCTTTGTGGATAGCTGCCTTATTTAACCTGAAAAGCTAAAAGGAATATAATTATGTGTTTGCCTGCCTATTTGAGCACAAATAGCCAGATATGTGACTTTACGCTGAAACAGCAGGTCAGATTTTTGCGAATCTTTTGTGCTACCATGTGATGCAATACTTGGCTTGAGATGAACAGTTTTCTCTTGATGAAGATTTTAAAAAACAAGTAACATGGGCATAAAATGCCATTGCTAAACATAAAACACTTTTCAAGTAATTTAGAGAGTTTAAGTTCAGGACATGGCTATAAAGGAACCTCTCTGAAGAAATCCAGATAGACCTATGTTGAGATTGCTGGATAAAAGTAAGTCTTTAACTGTTTGAGATGCTGAATGGGTTTTACTTACTTGAGTCAGTCTCTAGTTTCTGTAGTAATAGATTGGATTTTGTTCAGCACTCTCCGACAAATTAGAACGGGTGCAGAAGTTCTCTATTGCTCAATAATGTGAATGTTTTAGACAGCTGTGTTGATGGAAGCAAAATGCTGTCCTACTGAGATACATGTAGTGTGTGTCACTTCTGCAGGGTGTTGGGTCCCTGTAGGCTGTGTGAAAGGAGGGGGAGGGAGGGAGTCCTGTCTCTTCTCTGTTCCCTGTAGTGAAGAAATGCTTGTAGGAGCTATAACATTGAACAAAATGTGTGTTGCTTGGGCACAACAAATGTGGCTGCTGTGCAAGGGCGCAGGAAGGAAATGCCGTGGTCTGGTCAGCAGATAACTAGCTGCTGGGATTTGCTGTTTAGGTGGTACCTAAGAAACTGGTGTTTTTAAGATGTTTAGGGATTATTTGGCTCTGCATTGTGGTACTTGGCTAGTTAAGTCCAATAGGAAGAGGCAGACAACAGGGTTAGATTGCTACTCATTTTAAACAAAATTTACAACTCTCCAACTTGTTTTGCTGTAAATGAGTGGTTTTCTTTTCCTATGTTCTGCAGGCACCTTAACCTGATGCCACTTACAAATTTGCAGTTATGTCTTGATGTTCTGTGTGCAACAATGTTCAGTCATCTTCACAGTGCAACTGTTGTGTCCTGAGCTTCTGTGTCTTTTTGGGGGGGAATTATGTGCTTTTCTATGGGAAAACTTTGAAGAAGTTTTTCTTTAGATGGTTCTGTGTCACTTCCTGGTATGAAATTCACACATGGTGATGCTTGACTGCTTTCAGTGTAACAATTGCATCTGGGGTATAATATTTATTT